AAGATCCCAGCCGCGGCGAGAAGCTGACTGCCGAAGGGGGCGATCTGTTCTTTGACTACTCGAAGAACCGCGTCAACGATCAGACGCTGAAGCTGCTGTTGGAACTTGCTGAAGAGTCCGACCTTCGCGGGCGAATCGATGCGATGTTCAGCGGCGAGAAGATCAACATCACTGAAGATCGCGCCGTGCTGCACACTGCTTTACGTGCACCGAAAGATGCCACGATTACTGTCGATGGCGAAAACGTCGTTCCGGCTGTGCATGAAGTGCTGGACCGCATGAGCCAGTTTTCCGATCGCGTACGAAGCGGTGACTGGAAAGGACACACCGGCAAACGAATCGTCAACGTCGTGAACATCGGCATCGGCGGATCGGATCTCGGTCCTGTGATGGCGTACGAAGCGCTGAAGCATTTCAGCGAACGATCGATGACGTTCCGTTTTGTTTCCAACGTCGACGGCACCGACTTTGCCGAAGCGGTGCAAGATCTCGATCCGGCCGAAACGCTTTTCATCGTGGCGTCGAAGACATTCACCACGCTCGAAACGATGACCAACGCCACCACTGCACGCGATTGGCTGCTTCAAGCGTTTGGCGGCGACAATGCCGCGGTTGCCAAGCACTTTGTGGCTGTTTCGACCAATGCCGAAAAGGTTTCGGAGTTCGGTATCGATACGGCCAACATGTTCGGCTTCTGGGATTGGGTCGGCGGCCGTTATTCCATGGATTCCGCGATCGGTCTGTCGACGATGCTGGCGATCGGGCCAGACAACTTCCGCGAGATGCTGGCCGGTTTCCACAAGATGGACGAGCATTACCGCACCGCTCCGTTTGACAAGAACGTTCCCGTGCTGATGGCGCTTTTGTCCATCTGGTATAGCAACTTCTTCGGTTCCGAAACGATTGCCGTGCTGCCGTATGAACAGTACCTGAAGCGTTTTCCGGCGTACCTGCAACAGCTGACCATGGAAAGCAACGGCAAATACATCACCCTGAGCGGTAGCCGTGTCGACTACACGACTGGAACCGTTTACTTCGGCGAACCAGGCACCAACGGGCAGCACTCGTTCTATCAGTTGATCCACCAAGGAACGGAACTGATTCCGTGCGACTTCATCGCTTTTGGCAAGTCGCTCAATCCGCTCGGTCGTCATCACGACATGCTGNNGGAAGGAACGGAAGAGTGGCTCGTTCCGCATCGCGTCTTTGAAGGCAACCGACCTTCCAATACGATCTTCGCCGACAAGCTTTCTCCTTCGGTTCTCGGTCAGCTGATTGCTCTTTACGAGCATTGCGTTTACACCCAAGGGGTCATCTGGCAGATCAATTCGTTTGATCAATGGGGCGTCGAACTAGGCAAGCAGCTCGCCAAGCAAATCATTCCGGAACTGGAAAGTGCCGAGATGCCTGAGCTGAAGCATGATAGCTCGACCAACAATCTGATTCGTCGTTTCCGAGCCGCAAAGGGAAAGTAATGTCACGTATCGACAGCAGCACTGCCCAGTTTCAGAAAATCAAGAGTGCCCCTGGCTTCATTGCCGCCCTCGATCAAAGTGGCGGCAGCACCCCGAAGGCTTTGCATGCTTACGGCATTGAGCCTGACGCTTGGTCCAACGACGAAGAGATGTTTGCCCTGGTGCACGAGATGCGTTCGCGGATCATCACTAGCCCTGCTTTTGATGGCGATCGAATCTTGGCGGCGATCTTGTTCGAGAACACGATGGACCGCGACATAGAGGGCAAGCCGACGCCTGACTATTTGTGGAACGTCAAAAACGTTGTGCCTATTCTTAAAGTCGACAAAGGCTTGGCGGTCGAAGCGAACGGCGTCCAGCTGATGAAGCCGATGCCGCAACTGCCAGAACTTTTACAGAAAGCGAAATCGAAGGGCATCTTCGGTACCAAGATGCGTTCGGTCATTAAGTTGGCCGACACGATTGGTATTAAGGAAGTTGTTAATCAGCAGTTCGCCGTCGCAGATCAGATTCTCGCGGCAGGGCTTGTTCCGATTGTCGAACCAGAGATCGACATCAACAGCCCGCAAAAAGCGGAAGCGGAAGCGATCTTGAAGGAGAACCTGGCCAGTCATTTGAGCCAGCTTCCGGAAGGCGACTTCGTCATGCTGAAGCTGACACTGCCGGAAGAGGACAACTTCTATCAAGAGTTGGTCGACTATCCGCGCGTGCTGAAAGTGGTGGCCTTGTCTGGCGGGTACTCGCGCGAAGAAGGAAACGAAAAGCTGAGCCGTAATCACGGCGTGATTGCCAGCTTTTCCCGAGC